GGGAATTGGGCAACGGGGACTGGGAGAGTGGGAATTGGGATAGTGGGTATTGGGATTACAGGGATCGGGAGAGTGGGAATTGGGATAGTGGTTATTGGGATAACAGGGACCGGGAGAGTGGGAATTGGGATAATGGATATTGGGATAACAGGGACCGGGAGAGTGGGAATTGGGATAATGGGTATTGGGATAACACGGACCGGAAGAGTGTGAATTGCTGCCCCGAAAGCTTGGTTCATTTGGTCTCTGCTTGTTTTATGCCCGCTTACCGAGTGAGGGTTGGGGAGCCCTTGTGCAGACAGAGACAAGTTCACTGAAACATGTCCCAGGGTGTGCGGGAGACAATTAGCACCAAAACCGTGTCTGTGCTCGGTATGTGTGTGTGGGTGTGTGTGAGAGAGGGAGACTGTGTGCGTGTGAGGATCAGAGTGTGTGTGCCTGCGTGTGTCAATGAATGTGCCTTGTCTGATATTTGAGTGTGTCTCTGAGTTTATCTGGATGTTTGTGAGTGTGCCTATCTCTGTGACTTTGGATATTGTTGTGTCTGTGTTTCTGAGTTTGTGTGCTCGTGTCTGGGAGAGTGTGTGAATTTCTCTGTGAGTGTTGGTGTCTCCGTAAATGTGTGTCCCTTTGAGTGTTGCTAAATCCGTGGGATTTCAGTCTTCCTGTGTCTGTGGGAGTGTTTGTGTCCCTGTTAGGGAGGGACGGAGGGAGGGGTGCTGTGGGCAGGAGCTGTATGCAAATAGATGGATCTGAAACCAGCTGATGGGAGAAGGGGGGCAGCTCAGTCTGTGTGTGAGTGAGTGTGTGTTTTGGGGAGTGGGGTGGGGGGAGCTGGTGGTGACAGTGGAGGACCAGGGGCCACATCTCTGACAGAGAGAGTTCCTGGAGCAGGATTTCCCAGCTCCCGTCTCTGCTGCGCCGTCCCAGCAGCAGTGAGTTTATTCCGAGAGCCGGGACATGTTGCAGGATCCGGGCTCACAACATCGCGGTGAACTTTTTAAACACAGCCCCGTCTCCAGCGCAGCGGAAAGATGCAGAGCCCGTGGACCGGGAACGCTGGCAACTTTCTCCAGACTTTGACAACTTTAATTGCCTTTGTGCTGACTGAGGAATTCACAGAAGTTCAGGGCAAGGAACAGAAGCGGTTCAGCCTGCAAGGTAGGTCCGCTCTCAGTTTCTTGCAGATTGTAACCAACAGACAAAAGTTAGTGAACATTTGGGGACTGGTCAGAGGGATAGGAGTCTCCTCGTGTTCCCTTTTTGTCAAAGGGGCACTGGGTTAGTTTCTGTTAGAGAGGCGAGTGGCCGCTGGAACGAAATGGTTAGGAATTCCCGGTGTGTGAGGAAGGCTCTCTGGGACTTGCTGCAGAGTTTTGGGACATTTCTGCAGGCTCCAATTCCGCAGGGAGCTCGGGGTTTGCACGAACTGATGGACTGGGAGGGTTGCGGCTGTGTTTGTTTTTGTGCCTGGGAGATGTTTTTTTTTTCTCTGACACGTTCCTTGTTTCCTCCGCAGAGCCGCGGGCCTTGCCTGAGCCTGAGCTGGTACACCCGGTCAGAGTGGACCCCCTTGGCCGCTTCCTGTCTCACCAGCTCTCCCACCGCCTGAGGAAGCGGCCCCGCCGCCAGCTGCAACCCGAGCCCGAGCCCGTCCACTACCGCCTCTCCCTCCGGGGCCGCCTGCTCCACTTCAACCTGACCATCAACCAGCCCCTCCTAGCCCCCGGCTTCCTGGCCGAGCGGCGCTATGGGGGGTTGAAGGGGGCTGCCATCAGCCGGGCCCAGATCAACCGCTGCCACTTTGTGGGCACAGTCCAAGCTGGCAGTAGTGGGATGGCAGCCATCAGCACCTGCCAGGGCCTGGTAAGCACCATCTGGGCAAGCAGCTGCATTTCTGGCAGTGCCCAGAATGGCCACCTCTTTCCTCACATCTTATACTGTCTTATTCTCTTCATCAACCTCAGCATTCACTGATAAAGCTGCTACTTGTTGCCTGTTGCTGGTTGTAGACTGCAGTCAGGGAATCTCTACAGTGTGGAAGTAGGCCATTTAGCCCATCACCCTCCAAAGAGCATCTCACCCAGAATCACCCTATCCCTGCATTTCCCATGGCTAATCCATCCAGCCTGCAGGTCCCTGAACACTATGGGCAATTCCCATGGCCAATCCACCTAACCTGCACATCTTTGGACTGTGGGAGGGAACTGGAGCACCCGGAGGAAACCCACGCAGACACGGGGAGAATGTGCAAACTCCCCACAGTCACCCGAGGGTGGAATCGAATGCGGGTCCTTGGTGCTGTGAGGCAGCAGTGCTAATCACTGAGCCACCATGCCACCTTAATTACATTTTCTCCAGACCATGGGACCCACTCCAGCCCCCTCCTTCTTCAACACTGAAATGCATTTACAAACCCAGCAAAGACTGACTATTCCACCTCTGCTATCTCACCTGCCTCACTCCCTCTGGCAGTTCAGTCAAACATAGAAGAGCACAGAATGAGGCCATTTGGTCCATTGTGTCCTTGCCAGCCAAAAGAAAAGTCCTAGTCTAATTTCACTTCCAGCTCTCAATTAGTAGACTTCAGTTCTTCAAATATATATCCAAGTTCTTTTTAAATGCAGTGAGAGGCTTCTGCTTCAATCATTCTCTCAGACAGTAAGTTCCAGACTCCTCCCTCTGGCTGAAAACAATTCACACATAACTCCCCTTTAATCTTTTCAATTTAAACCTATGCCTCCAGTTATTGACCTCTCTGTTTCTGTAAATAGATCTTTCCGATTCACTGTAGGCTAATTCACAATTTTTACACCTCAGTTAAATCTCTCCTAGCTGCCTGTATGTTGAAGAAAACATCTACAGCCTATCCAATCCTAGCTAAATTCTCCACACCTAGCTGTGATTTTGTAAATTTTTTCTACACACTCTCAAGAGTGATCATTCCCTCCTTCTAATACAGTGAGCAGAACTCGTTACGTGCCATTGGGATCCAGACTGCAATACCACAATGTTCTAGCTGGCCTCTTATTCTCTATCTCCTGAAACATCAGCTTTTCCAAAATGTTGCTCTCTGGGCTGTATTCTGCACAAAATTCCAGTCACTGTTCACTCCTCTCATTGCTGACCTCCAATTGTATTCCAGTCGCCCCAAGTCCCAGATGTAAAATTCTCATCTTTGTGCTTCAATTCACTCATCACTTCACTAGTCCCTACCTTGGAATCTCTTCCAGCTTAACAACATTGATTCCAGTCTCTCAAGCTCCCAGTTCCACAGGGTTCCTCATATTGGCTTTCCCTTCACCTCACCACAGATGGCTGTACTTTTAGTTAACTAGACACCAAAATCCGGGATTCCCTCCCTGAATCTCACTGTCTCTCCATTTCTATCAATTATTTAAAGTTATCTTTTAAGTTAAAGACATTATCCGGAAGCCTACCCCACTGGCATGGGTAGAGTAGTGCAATGATTTATGTTACTGGACCAGCAACCCAGAAAACAGGAGTTCAAATCCCACTAATGAACTCTGAAACAGAAAATCAGTAAAAGTCATGACAAAATCATAACAAGTTCTCTACTATTCTTTAGAGATTGGAATCTGCCATCTTTACCTGGTCTGGCATATTCTGGTAATTTCAATCCCATGTCAATATCTCTCAGCTGCCCTCTGCCATGGTTTAGCAAACCAGCTGTACAAAGAATAAATTGATGTCCTCAACATGTGTTTAAATATTAACTGGCAGATCCCTCCTCATTGGTAATCATGAATACCCCAATTTCTCACATGCAGCACTGTTTAATCTGGCCTTACCTTTAAAGCCATTTCCAATGGAGGAAAGTGATCTATTCCATTCTTCAACAAGAGGCTATTTTTCAGGGAAATTTCGGTAGATTTACCACTGTTTGTAAATCCCTTAGAAACTGGTAAGGTTATCAATGCAGGATATAACTAGCTTTCTTTCAATGCTTGACACTGAAATATGACTTCTGGTTTGTAATAAACCAAGAAATTTATATGTAGGTAGATTTGCCTTCCAGCTTTTCAGTTTTTATTGCTAATCTTTTTACATGACTATTGTTTTTGAACCAAATTCAATTATTTATTGTTCCTTCATTTATTCAAATAAGGTCAAAACTAATATAAAATTGTGTCTGATATTTATCAACAAGTGGCAGCACTTTTAATAAACCTCGAGATCATGAGGCTGAGAGCCAATATTGCAGATAGGAATCTGTACACAGTTTAACATTGCAGATTGGATTTCCACTCCCGTTTCAAGGCATAGCAGTCAGGGAGGCAGTGAGTTAAATACTATTCGCATAAATGCACCCAAATAAACCTGGTCTACAGTTGTGTCATATTTCCTGTACTTATATGCTAATTTTATTACTGGCTGCAACATGATTCAACAAGTCACCTGGTCTATTTTATGTAAGGGACTAAAGTGCTTTCATAAAGTTGAAGTTTATAATCTCAACTGCAACAAAAGATTAATTTCAATAGCACTTTATTTTGAACACTGCAGCTTTAAAGCAATTGCTGAGAGAAAGAAAGTGAAAAATAGCTCAATGTCACCTACCAGGTGTTGGGAAGTGGGATTAGAATGTGAAGCTAGTTTATTCATCCAATATAGAAATGATGGGCTGAGTGGCCTGTTTCTGTTGCCTTCTATGATTCTGTGATTAGCAGAGATCTGTCTTTAAAGAGTAGCTTTAAAACTGGACTACAAATATAAATTCACTCTGTAGCATGTGCTAAATATAGTTGGGAAGCTTATAGAAAAATATGGGGAAAGCCCAGCAGAATATAATGAAAAAATGGACTTGTGATAACAGAGGGGCTGTTACTATCAGAAAGCTGAATGAGTTTGGGCACTTATCTCCAGAAGAGCAAAGGCTGAGGGCTGACCTGTTACAATTGTGTTTGATTGGTCAGACATTGACAAGATGTTGTCACTTCTGAGCAAAACCAGATTTATGAGCCATAAATATAGGCTAATCTCTAATGCATCCAACAAGGAATTGAGCCAGAGAGTGTCCTGTGTATGGAATGTACCACCCTTAGGGATGGGTGAGACAAATGGCACTGATGCAGTTAATGGGAAACTAGATAAACACATGACAGAATGGAGGGATATTTTGTTGGGGTTATATATAGAAGGTGGGAGGAGGATTGTATGGAGAATAGACAATGGTTTGGAGCTGTGTCAGTGCTGTAAATATATGAATTGAATTAGGTTTATTGTCACATGTACTCACATGAGTACAGTGAAAAGTTTACAAGTCGCCACTTACAGTGCCATTTTAAGTACAAAGCAAAAAAATAAAGAAAACAATGTTAAACAGTTAAACAATTACAATATGATCCAATCCCTGGGTATACTGTCCAGCATTTGTCATCTCTTTCATTTTAGTATTTAAAACTCTCCTCCTAGTTGAAATCATGAATGGTTTAAATAGAGTAAATAAAGCAAAACATTCACTGGTGCAGAAAGGTCAGGAACTTGAGGGACACTATTTAAGGTGATTGGTTAAAAAAAATCCAAGAGATGTTTTGAATAAATATTTTTTATACAGTGAGTTCTTGTGACTTAGAATGCATTTCTTGAAAAGCTATTACAGCAAATTCAACAATAAATTTCAAAAGGAAATTGGATACAAATTTGAAAGGGAAATATTTACAAGGCTGTGAGGAAGGTGTAACTTATTTAAATGGAGAAAGACTGCAGAAAGCTGCAGGAAGAACAGAGGGATTTGGGAGTCCTCACCCATGAATCACAAAAATGTAGTATCTAAGTTCAGTGGGTAATAGGGAAGACAAATGAGATATTAGCCTTTATTTCAAAGGGAATGGAGTATAAAATAGTGAGGGTTTGTTAAATTTATACAAGACACACTTGTAAGACCACAGCTGGAATACTCTGTAGTTTGGTCCCCTTATCAATAGAAAGATATACTGGCATTGGAAGCAGTCCAGAGAAGGTTCATTAGGCTGATACCAGGTAAGGAGGGACTGACTTCTGAGGAGAGGTTGAGTAGATTGGGCTTATTCTCATTGGAATATAGAAGAATAAGGGGCAATTTTATTGAAACATGAAAGATTCTTAAGGGACTTGACAGATGCAGAAAGGTTGTGGGAGAGTCTGGAATGAGAGGGCCTTGCCTCAGAATGATAGATCACAGCTTTAAGACTGAGATGGAGGAAGATGGTCGTGGTTGTTGGAGGTCAGTCATCTCAGCTCCAGGATATCTCTACAGGGGTTCCTCACGGTAGTGTATAAGGCCCAACCATCTTCTGCTGCTTCATCAATGACCTTCTGTCCATCAACAGGTCAGAAGTGGGGATGTTTGCGGATGATTGCACAATGTTCAGCACCATTTGTGACTCCTCCGATATTGAAGCAGCCCGTGTTCAAATGCAACCAGATCTATGCAATACCCAGCCTTGGGCTGACAGGTGTCAAGTAACATGCACGCCACACAGAATGCCAGGCAATGGCCATCTTCATTAAGAGACAATTTAACCACTTCCCCTTGACAATGGTGTTACCATCACAGAATGCCCCGCAATCAACATCTTGAGGGTATCATTGACCAGAAACTCAACTGGACTCACCACTTAAACCCAGTGGTTACAAGAGCAAGTCAGAGGCTAGGAATACTGTGGCGAGTAACTCACCTCCTAACTCCCTAAAGCCTGTGCACCATCTACAAGGCACAAGTCAGGAGGCTGATGTAATACTCCTCACTTTTCTGGTTGAATGCAGCTCCAACAACACTCAAGAATTTCAACATTACCCAGGACAATGCAGTCCACTAGATTGGCACCAAATTCCACAAACATGCACTCACATCCTCCACCAAT